GCTCTCATGAGTGTGGCTCCTCTCTAGAATTTTATATTTTATAGAAAGTAGATATATCTTGTATCGGATACGTACGGTCTTGAATGAGGTATTTGTTTTGAGATAATTGTTTCAAAGATATAAGAGAGTAAATACCATTTATTTTATGAATGAAAAAGTGAGCTATATCGATAAAAGTAAAAAAAACAACGTATTTTCATTTCGTTTTCCGTATTTTCACTGTAAAAGTTTGTGTTAACTGTAGTGAAGCATATTTTCAAGTGGCGGCATGGCCGAGTGGCTAACGCGTCGGACTAATAATCTAATGATCGCTAGCCGTAAAAGTTAACTGTAGTGAAACATATTTTCCGTATTTTCACAGATGTCATTTCGATCATCTTTCTTCTTATTTTACCCCCAAAAAAATGTGAAGGAAAGTCGTCGCTTGAAAACTGTATTGTTCTATCTCCAATTTTTCCAAAAACAAGTTAAATACACACTTTTGTCCGTAATGGACTGTTCTATCTCCTTGGCATGTTAAATTAGTGCTTCGGAGCTTCACAAATCTATTACAAAGAAACCATCCTGTTCTATCTCCACAAATTTACTATGTCTTGATAAATAGACTGTTCTAACATACTTGACTAATCATATCATCGATAAATGTCACGTGACCTGTGGGATATATGCAACATACTGTTCTAAATCCAAAATTATCATATCAAAACATAGCATCAAATCATGTGATAGCAGGACACCCGCCATGTTGTACAAAACATTTTGAGTTAGATGGTTTGTTATTTATTTAATATATTAATACTAAATATAAATATTGAATGATATTATGTATTCATTTATTCCCTCCAATCATTGACATTTTAGTATTAAGTCCTGTAAATTTACTGCATGTGATTAAACAGCAAGCATAACTGATCATGATTTGAAAGTAATTTCGGATGTGTATTTTCGGATAGAAACAACTGTGATCATACAATTTCATCAAACAAATTCGTAAAAAAGAAATATTGTTATATGTTCTAAAGTTTCTTTAACGTAAGGTACATTCTGTCTCAGAAAACAATTATGTATCTTTATAACAGACACATATGAGTTTAAAAAATTGACTGTACTCATTGCCAATATGAAACAAAAACATAAGATGGTTTAGGTTACTGACCAATGTTGAATATTTTGGAAACTATAACAGAACTCCAAATATCAGGCTTTTGAGTGATTAAGATAAAAGCATTTCTGGGGCAAAAAAGGACTTTAAGAAAATTTATAGATCTTATACGTTTACATATAATATATATTTCCAAATGCCTTAATGTTATATAACTAATAGATTGATTTAAAGTAAACACATTTTATACCAAAGACAGAAGGAAGAAAAATATTCTTATACTTATATTTTGTTTGTCTTGTAATTTGACTTTGAATTTTTAAATGATGTTTATTTAGCATTATGTTTGTAATGTTTTTGTACACGAACAATCTTTAAATATGATATTTTTCAAATATAAGTCATGCCTGCTCCACCTTTAAGGTCTTTTCTAGCAGATATGTTTTCATTGCCTATTTAAGTTGTAGAAACATTTTTTTACATCCCTTAAATTATAAGAACTTCTTACCAACACACAGAACGTGTAAAGCGCATAACAAAGTAATTACTACTATTTGAATTTGACCATCTTTTGAATTTTCCCAGCATTCAAGAAAATTTGAAAGTTTTCTTTTCCCGTTTGCGGCTATAACTTTCTTTTTTTTCCAGACATTGAATCACTTTGAATGTGGCCAAGGTTATAAAAATAGATAAAATTTCTACAAAATTTATGTGGGTATTTTATCTTTATTTATTTAAATTATTTGTTTAAATGTCATTTAATAATGTAATGGATATAAGGATTTTAATAAGATTTCGAATGTCATAGTTCATGTAGTTAGATACATATGGTCTAAGAAATAGTGTAGTGTCAAAGTCAACTAATCAAGGGATAATTAGCCGAGAGCATTTTTGGCAACCTTTTAAAGATAAAGCCTACTGTTTTATACAATATAAATCAATTCAACTTAACAGACATAATGTTCTAAGTCACATTGAACACTCTGATTTTAACAATTTTTGAAAAAAAGTTACAAGGACTGTTCTATCGCCAAATGTTTTTTTTAGGTTTTTAAGCAAGGAAATATTTAAATCCACATATCTTTAACGATATTGAGTTGTTCTCCTGACACCACGTTTAGTAGTTTTTAAATTTTCAAAATCCGACTATAAATAAAAAAGTTATGCAATACTAAATCTTTACATGTTTTTTTTCTCAAAAACAACAAATTGGCACTTAGAACAAAACGTTTTTCAAGCGACGAAGTCTTAAGAGTGGTTAAGTAAAACATCTGAAAATTAACAGAATATTTTCCTTTTTGTAGTATGAAAGTTATCATCTTTCACTTGTAGCCACCGCTCCTCGTGAACACTAAATGAAAATAAATCCTGAATTTATAGAACGAAAACTTTGATTTGGTATTTATTAACTTAATATTAGGCTGTGCAACGTCCTCTTTCTGTATGAATCAGAAACAAAGCATACATTCTAACATTAGGTTTGTTTGCCTTGGCATTAACATGATGCATAACAAATGAACAGTTACTTTTAGAAATAGGGTATTGACCCTAATATCATAAGAAAACTGCAAGTCAGTCTTGAGTAAAGGAATACAAAATGACAAAAACGTAGAAAGTAAAAGATTTCATTCAAAATTATATGTTTTCAGAACAACATCATCATAATTAAATACATAATTAACCACAGAGAAACATCAGGGCAACGACTTAACCTTTCATCATTAGTTTCTTTCATATCTTAAAAAACTTATTACTTGTTTTCTTGTTACCTAAACGTTTCCTGAAATAAACAATACCATCTTCGTAAAAGTATTCAGATTAGAAATATGTGAACATTTTTTATACAACCTGCGTCTTTTTCGACTTTTATATAAAAATTCTTCAGATATTTCAAAGGAGCAGAGTACAGGTTTCACAATAGAATACGATGACGAAACTATGTTGGCATTCAATCCCGCTCTACATGACTGACTAACTTTGGACGCTTCGTAGTGCAAATAACACTCAAGAATTTGAATCTGAATGCAACGATCGACTATTTACACACAAGAAGCATTGAAATGTCAAAATGTTAATCCAAATTTTAACTTTTCTGAAGATCTTAAGTCCGAAATAGAACTAGACGATGAAGAAGTCAGACAGTGTTAACCTAAAATTAAAAACAGTTTGTCTTGTGACGCAGATTGGTCTGATACTCCTAAACCTCTTGATATTCAGAAAGAACAGAAACTTAGAATGGCTTCTGGAGATATGTTGTTTTCTCTGGCCAAGAGAAACCTCTTTCCGAAATGTGATTTTGTATATGTTGTTCAAGATGACAAAAAAAATCAAATAATTTGTCTGTTCATCGTCTTGGTAATGTACATTAATAGTTTCACTGTCATATAAACGCTCTCATGTGTCAATCTATCTAATATTGAATATTCTTCCCTTGTTTCAGGAGCATCAGTATCTCTGTAATCACCATGCTCAGTTTTGTCTGGTGCAAGTTTTGGGAAATACAAACACTTCTTGCTCGTCGGTACGATTTCCACCCGCATGTGTCCTACGGTGACACCAGGCCAATGTCGCTGAGATTAAAACGGTTTGGACTAGGTAATGGAACCTACTCAGTGTTGTAGGACTTTTGCATGTCTGTCGCATCATAGAAAATTTCTGGTAATAGCTGTGCTTTTTGTCTGAAAGAGCTTGTAACTACTGTTACCGGTTTTGTGGTGTTTACTCGTGTTTCATATACACTAGCTGTGTAGTGTCTTGGTGTATCAAAATGAGCAAAATTGGATGAAGAGGATGGTCTATCGCCGTCAACCTCATCTTCCCTCGATGGTATGTCTTGACCTAAATCTGACTGGCGTAGAATTGCAGGTCTCTTTCTGACACGCAGTTCATCTGTTCGATCAACTGTGTCTCTGGACAGCTGACGTTTTAACTTTGTTTTATGAGGATCCATGAGTTTGATAGGGTGTTCCTCTAGGTTGTCATCTTCTTTGGTATTCAGATTTTTTTCTGGACAAAGAAAGTCACATTTATAGGTGCAAACTAACAGTATTACTTGATGGGACTTGTGAAATTCAAATAAGTCTATAAAGAAATGTAAAGTGTTTCATTTAATAAAATAACATAAAATGTGAACGAGTTATTTCGCGTGTAAATGTTTCATTGTTTCTTTCTCCATTCTTCATACCATGTAAGACATGGCGAGTGAGACGGTAAAAATTAAACTTAGATACAGTGTACAAAATTTAATAATATTTGTTGTGTTGTAAATGATATGATGCTCAAACAAAAATAAATGTTTACACAAAATGAATACATTTGTTCATGTTATTTAATCATTTAAAAGTTTTATTGCATAAGGTATATAATTGGAATACAGGTTTTGATAAGATTTGACCTGAATTGAATTTGATACCTGTAGGTTGAAATGTTTTGTCGTAAATTTGCCATTGAATGACATTGATAAGATAATAATGGCAAACGTTTTATCAAGACAGGAAGTGCTTTTTCATGATACAAAACGTGTTCATTCATATACTGGGAAAAATGAATTAAGATAAAAGTTTGAGTTAAACTTGTTACCTGTTAAGAAATTTCAACAGGTACTACAGTGGATATGTTGAAATATTGAAAAATCAAAATCGCAGTTGTTGCGTATGAATTTGGGAACCTTCGGCAATTTCCGTATATTCCGTATACAGTATCTTATATGTTTTTGAAAGTGTCGACATTTATTCAGTATGACGCACGTACAGTGTTAACAAGACATTCATAATGACTGACAATGGCAAATTTATATATAGAATTTTTAATTCATAACAAATTATATATTGACTTGAAAGCAAAGAAAGTAGAAAAAAACATATGTTATTAAAAATAAAAATATACAAAAAAACCATACCTTTATGAACAGTTTCTTTTGCCATGTCGTCAATACTTGTTTTAGAGGAGCACAAGAGCACAGGGGCTGTAGCTGGACACTCAGGATAATTACCGTTCCGTGCCGGTACCCTCCCGGACAGACTTTCATGCAAGAGCCGGTTGAACAGAGGAAACTTAAACCAATAATAGATATTAATTCATATACTTTTCTATTTACGGTGAAAATTCTTTTGCAATATAAAGGAAGCTATGGCCTAATGGTAATGGAGTCTTCCTTTCAAACCAGTGATCATGGGTTCGAGCCCTACTCAGGTCACGACCATATTTCTTCATATGGTCTCTGTGGCTGAGAGGTTAATATCACAGGCTTTAAAATCACCACTAGGGATTCGAATCTCGCTAATGCCTTAAGATTTTGTCATAACAGCAAGCTCTCCAGGTAGCTTATAAATGTATTTAACAAGAGCTGTCACAGGAAACAGCGAAGCTCGACTAATAAAATACTGGACACAGTAAGGAGGACAAAACTATGAAAGAAAAATCAATGTATAATTATGTATTAAGTTATGGTAAAAAAATAACATTTGTTAACATAAATTCCGAGATCAAGGGGAATAATTCTAGAAATAGTCATGCCAGAGTTATGGACCTTGTCATCCAACATTTGTGTAATGATAAGAAATATATATTTGTAGTTTGAAGTAGATACCTTAAAAAGTAAATAAGTTATTATATTTCTTAAAGAAAATCCTAAGTTCAAAGAGAGATAAATCTGTAAATATTGCTTCAAGAGTTATGAACATTGTCACATAAACTGTAATTGATGATAAGGAACATGTATTTGATGTTTGAGGTAGATACCTTTAAAAATAAAAAAAGTTATAATAAAAAATAACATTTTTCTAGTAAAAAAATCTTAGTTTATTGGGAGATAATTCTTGCAATATTGGTGCTAGAGTTATGAACCTTGTTACATAAGATATGGATGATGATAACGTAAATATATTTGAAGTATGAAGTTGATCCCTTTAGAATTAAATAAGTAACAGTGAAAAATGATATTTTTTATGGAAAATTCTAAGTTCAAAGGGTGATAAATCTGAAAATATTGGTGCTAGAGTAATGAACCTTGTCACATAAGATGGGGATGATGATAACGTAAATATATTTGAAGTATGAGGTTGATCCCTTAAGAAATAAAGAATAAACAGTAAGAAACAGTATTTTTTTTAGGAAAATTCTAAGTTCAAGGGGAGATAAATCTGAAAATGTTGGTGCTAGAGTTATGAACCTTGTCACATAAGATGTGGTTGATGATAAGGAACATATATTTGAAGTTTGAAGTTGATACATTAAGAAATGACAAAGTTATAGTGAAAAATATTTTACTGCACCAAAATCTAAAATCTGGACGCGGACGTGGACGCCGAAGCCGGGGCGAGTAGGATAGCTCTCCATATACTTCGTATAGTCGAGCTTAAAACGCGTCATAGGGCAATGTAAGTGTATATTACGTTTTGAATAAGCATTGAAAGGGGTTCGATTATAAAATGACATAGTAGAATTTTATACTGAAAGATTGGACACTCCCCATGTTATTTATTGACTTCTATGCATTTGAGCTGAAATTACTTGAGAAGCCACTCTTTCTAAGACTGAAGATAATAAAATCGGAGCGTTTATTCGACAATTGCCGATTGAACTGTCAATGAAAGTTGGGAGGGGGGACTGAATATCCTATAACGCGTATTGTTAACACCTCCTTTTATACAGCAACATTAATTATAAATAATGACATTAATTATAACTTACCTTTGGTTTCGAAAGCTTTCCTGGTGAAGTTGATGGAGACACCATAGATACAAGTATCCAAATAATATATACAAAAGTTTATCATCCGAATATTCGAAATATCCAAAAGAAATTTAAAGACACAAAAGACACGTCTATAACAAAAACAATGTGTACATTCACGTTCAGATTATTTAACTATTGCATATACACGGAGACTGTTAAATAATTGTTTATTCGGATACCCGTGTCTGAATCCATATGAAATCAACACCCGTAAGACCCTTTGTGTACTTTGATACGCTAAGCTATTGCAGTAGATTTCGATAAATCTAATTCACGATTTAATTTCACAAAAGGGCATGTGGCTCATATGCTGTAACTTTACCCAAATGCTCATTGAAAAATGAGTTAGCCGAATAAAAAGTTTTGTTGAAATAATCTTTTTTTTTCTTCACAAAAATGCCTGCACAAACGATTAATTCATTAACTATTCATTTTAGTAGCTTCTGCATTATTTATCCATTAGATATTCCGTATATTCAATGCCTGAATAAAACCACAGTGCAATTTTAAATAAACAGTCATTTCTACTTTATTTTCTCCCTCAAAATGAAATCATTTCATTTTCTTTTTACAGTTTGAATGTTTGTGCATATCAGAAATTTGAAATTACCGGTAAAATTTAAAATGCATGATTTGAGGTAACATTTCCGGTGTCATATTGTCTGATAAAAACTAATTTTTATTACACTTGAATCCCTTAAAGGTACTTGAGCGTTGAATTTTATCAATCGAGCTAGTGTAAGGTTATTTAAATTTGATATTGACAATGTTAAGATCTAACATCACATGTAGATTTTATAATTAACGTGAATTGGTTTATAACTGGAAGGTCTGTTTACCATAAATAAGATTGATGATACATGCAGTATTTAATATCATTAAGAAATAATATATCCCAAACTGTGATTTTATCGCTCAATAACATCAATGTTTGGAGGTCGGATGCCAGGAATTATATCACGAGGGCCGAGTGATATAATGATGCGCATCCGAACGACAAACAGTGATGTTATCAAGCGATAACATCACAGATTTGGATATATTATTTCGATTCTAACACGACATCAACAAATAAAGGTTGCCGTACCTGATATTATGCAAAATTGCGCCTGATTTGCTTCCGTACTTATTGTCAGCGCGTCGGATTTTATAGTGGTTACGTCACATGTATAATGATTACGTCACATGTCTAAATATAGTACGTCAAACAGTGATTTTATAGCATAATAACACACACTTTCGGTTCTTCTATGTTCAATAGGGAAAACCGCGGGTCGTGTTAGAAAACGTGATAACAAGCTAGAAAAAAATCAGTAAGTGTAAGATGCATGATCTGATTTAATATATAACTATATAAAGAAGATAGAATCTAATAAAATGCTCAAAAACACAATAATTATTATTTTACTTCCTACTTAAAACTTTATCAAGATTCTTTTTTTTCCATAAAAAAATTTATGCTATGTTCATATTTTAATTCAAGATTTGATATAGACTAGAGCAATGTTAACATATTTATTACTTATAAAATTTCGACTTTGTAGGACAAAAGTATTTCTTATAAGTGACAATAAAAATATCGACTTTGTAGGACAAAAGTATTTCTTATATGTGACGATAAAATATCGACTTTTAAGGACAACAGTGTTACTTATAAATTAAGATTGAAAATCAACTATGACGAAATTATGTGTATCTTATTATGAAGTTTAGATTTTTGATCTAAGTACTGCTTAAAAATATGCATTGACGACTGAATAGCAGGCACGAGAAAATCTTCTAACAAAAGATAAAAGATCCAGAATATCATTCAAGACGCCGAAAAGACAAGAACCGGTGCAGTGTGGATGATGGGGTGTAGTTTGTGAACATAAATTATTAATCTTACATAAAAACTGAGCCCGTAGTTTATACGTTAACGAAGAAGAAAATATTCACCCATGACTGTATACGCATCGTTCTTACACGTTTTTTAATATACCTGACTCGGGCTGCCTTGTAAAACTGCTTTTTGCAGCTTTGAAAGTCCAACAAAAGACTGGCGATTTAACTTCAATATTGAGTTAGTTTTCGCAAGGCTTTACCGACCTTAAAATGCAAGCGCGTTGTTTTAGCGAAACTGACCTATCGGTACGTCTTATCGCATGGTTTGGAACTTTTTTTTTTGTTCTTACTAACCCATTATATTCAGTACACTTTCAATGAGCATTTGAAAACTGTATTGATATATAGCAGTCAGTTTTTTCATTGAATCATACAGAAAAAAACTCAACTGCTATATAGCATTTGAGGGTGTTTTGGCACCTTATATATATCAGTGTAGTTTTTTCACCGAGGTTCCAATGGGGCAGCGGTAACGAACATTCCCAAGAAGTAACAACAAAAAAGTAAGAAAGAAAATTAATGAAATGAATTTGTTCTCATATAATTATGCAACTGCTAAAATCAAAAGATACATCCGCTGAGTGAAATATTTCCACTTTAAAAAGCGTTTTAAGTTTTCAATATTATATATTGCTATAAGAAAGCTTACGACACCATAGGCTGGTATTTGTTCATATTATCTGGGAGTGAGAAGGTGAAAAACTGAAAGGGCACAAGAGAGAGAAATGCACGTTTTTTGTTGTTTTTTGTTGTTCTTGTTGTTTTTTTTCTGATTAAAATGAAAATGCGATAAAACAATTAAAGTATACTACCACTACACCCCATCATCCACACTGGCCGGGGCGACATCTCGGGATGTTTCTGCAAAACAACTTTTAGCATTTTTTTTAGCAGAAACACCTCTTGACGTCGCCCCAGCCAGTGTTGTATCCTTGTTACTAACTCGTTTCATATACATGTACTATACTAGTAATTATTACCTATTGACAGCTTTGACGTTTTTTGAGACAGTTTTGACGTTTTTATATCTTTTTGAGATAGTTTCGGGGCTTTGACGTATCAACAGTATTACCTTTTGATTTTTTTTAGATTTAAGATGCAAATTTCATTGCAATAACTACCTTTAAAAGTTCAGTTGTGTTATCAGTGTAAAATCAATTTTTAGTCCAATTTCATAATTTATAAAATCCCCTAATTCAATGCGGTATATTTACAAACGGTAGAATATTTAAGTACACTTGCTTTCGGATTAAAATTACAGTATAACGGTTTCTATGGGGAACTCTTTAAAGATTTGTTAAGTTGACGAACTATTTATTCAAGTTTAATATCCTACAAAATAAGGTAATCAATAAATCCACAAGGTTTTTTAACATCAAAATATAAGGGAGTATTTCTTATAATGATAAACCAATATCTAGAGGTCTAAATAAATACGCTGAATACCGGGGCGCCATTAAGGTCGTTTGTCCCTCACCGCTGTTGGTTCAAATCCCGCCAGAGACTTTAGATTCTTACATCTGAGGAAGCTATCCAGGTAGCTTAAGAAACGTCGATGGTTCTACCAAGGTGCTCTTCCTCCACTTATAAAGCTGTGAAGTCGCCATATAAGGTTAATATGATGAAATTCATCCCCCACACACACACACAAAACAATTTACTGTGAACATGTTCTTAAATTTACGTTTGATATAAACATGATAGAGCTGAATTTTCATAAACAATTAGGTTTAGGCGGCTTTACCCCCATCCCCACCCCCTCGATTAAAATTCATATAACAACAAAGACCGATTAAATTGGAACAATTTTGATATTTTAATGCACCGGTAAATTCAAAAGAAGAATGGCGGGGATTTTAACCTTAAGATTTTCAAGCCTCTGGCAATTCTCTGCTTGTAAAAGATCTCATTTCCGCTTTGCACCATTACGTTTAATGCCACTCTATCGGTTTAATGCCACCATTTCCGATTTGCACCCTTACGCTTAATGGGAATCTCTCCATGCAATCGGAATATCTCGGTTATAACTATTGCACGTCTTATGTAAAGTAAAATTGTTTTATTGCTAAAAGTACTCAATGTGAACGGGTTGTCACCCCGGACGAGGGAGGGAGGCAAGGTAGCGGAAGTATCAGACCCCAGGTAATGGTCACTGCAATGACCCTCAGACTGTCAATTTGAAGGATTAAAACTCTTGCTCTGTGATAAAAAAATAATCCTATCATTAGTGGGCAGAAAAAAAACATCCAAAAAATTACCGAATTTGCATAACCATTGACCCGGGTTGAAGAGGTTGAAAGGACGATGCGGGCTATCATTGATACATGCATATATTTGGCACGTGGATTTATTTATTTATTATTATTACTTGCTAGAACAATAAAATTACTATGCATCACCGTTTATATATAACCTACCAGCCGGTATAAACAAACTATCGTGATACTACAAACAGAAACTTAATATGTTACGCCATTGTCGTCTGCCGCGTTATTGTGTATCTCCTATTATGATGAGATGCCGAAATAGAATTCATTTTAATATTCTCATATCACGTGATCTGATTATTGTAACAATTTTATTTAATTCTCGTCTGATTTAAATCTTTAGTAACGGAGAAGATTAGGATTTCTACCGTTACATTCCCGATGTAAAGATTTTTACGACATTCGTCCAACGTTGAATAGAAATTGAGGAATTTGAATCTCATAAAAGGAGATACAGAATAAATAATTATATAGGCCTTCATTGAATAGATTAATTGAAATGCGGTGTCTTAAAGAAACAGTTTAAGAAATATCGAAATATCACGTATTACCGGGAACATCTGTTTATAAAGTGTGTGCTTTTATTAATGTGATGAAAGAATACAGTCAAGTCGGTGTCAAACAATATTCAAATTTCTCTAAACAAGCCGTCCTCATTTCTTCTTCTGTTGAAATTATATACAAGTATATATTCATGAATGTTTTGGGTAAGACGCTGAAATTATATATATGTATATATTCATGTATGTTTTGGGTAAGACGCTGAAATTATATACATGTATATATTCATGAATGTTTTGGGTAAGAGCCCATACTTTAATGCAGCATGTCTCCAGATTCATGTTAATTTTCATGAAAAGAAATGTATCTTAAAGTAAAATAATGTCAACTGAACAAAGAAAATAATTTACAGATTGCAAGCAGCTCTTGCAATCAACGTAAATTTCCAAAATATGTCAAAATAAGCAAAAATAGCCCTTACTGCGTTAGTAACGCAGCAGAAATATTGAGATAATTTCAGTAAGATAAGTCTATAATCCTTAATAGCATGTAAATTATTATAAGGATTCTAAATTCGTTTTACTTTTCTTAAAATGTTAGTACATTTTTTTCATATGTTTAATGTTTATGCTCCACGCTTTTTCGTCCGTCCGTCTGTCCGTCCCTCCCTTTCGCTTTCCTTATCCGGGACATTAAACTTTGAAACAGCAAGAAGTATCAACATGAAAACTTTGTAGGTAGATTGAGTAGGTGTGAATTGCACAAGAACCGTATCTCTGCCTTGCCTAATTTTTGAATTAGTGCCCTTTGTTTATTTTTACACTTTGAACTTTGTCCGGGACATAACTCTGTAACTGTATTAGGTATAAACATGAAACTTTGTAGGTAGATAGATCTCATTGGATAGAACTGCAATGCTAAAGAACCTATATACAGCCTTGTCTA